TTGAGCAACGTCAACCCACACTCAGCCCGCTATCAAAACGCAGCTGTGATCGGGTTGCTTTGGGGCACCCTGGTGGTAGATGGACTTTCATGGACTGAAAGGCCATCTATATGGGATCACCTGCTATCAATCTTTCTCCCAACTGCTGTGGGAAAATGGCGAGTGGACACAATTGACGGCCCAGTGAAAACAACCTTTTTGTCAGCTGACATTTCCTGTTGCCTACACTCATGAACCCCAAACTCCTCAGCTGCAATGGCAATCATGCATGGAGGATGGATGACCAGGGAAACGTGAAGCTCATTGACACAGGGGACCATGGTTGTCCAACCATATGTCAGTGCCACACCCGCCCGCACTCAGGGTAGACCTCCAGCAGCTTCTCACTGACAGGTCCATGGGCTCCTATGGGCTGCGCGCTTTGGTGGGCTATGGTGCAGCAGCGCGCAACTGCAAACGCAAGTTTACATGGTCCAACAAGGTCTGTGTGCCCTTCTACGTGATGGGAAAGCTTGAATTTGAGTATGTACCCCACACGAGGGCTCTCAGTCTGGACACTGTTGCCCTGCCACCAACAAGGGCGAGAACTGGTGGCTATATGATGAGCAACAACGACCTTCTCGGACCTTCTCGCCTATATCAGATCTCATCCTGGTGAACATCTGTGTACTCTGGCTGGCGTGTGATTTTCGACGGGGGAGCTCGGCCAATCACGCTGGACGATATGTGGAGGTGATGATGGCGAACATCAAAGCTGATTCGGATTCCACCATGGCTTGGAACAATGAATGGCCCATAGCGGTGGACACCAACTTGCTGTGGAAGCATGCTGATCTATGTTGTCGGGTGAGACCTTTATGGCGGCCTATGCAAAGCTGGGCAACACCAAGCCTTGTGCGTGCCACCCCTACCATGCTGAGGCCGGCGCGAATTTTGACGACCGCACTTCTCCATGACACCTATGGGCAATGCTTCATAATATGTGATTTGGCGTCAACAGCAGCCCTCACGAACCAAAGCGCTCATGCTGGGGGACTTGCTAGACGCTTGGGCCTAAGGCATTGCGAGGCATAGGAGTGGACCTGTACCACGGTCCACGCAGATCTTGGACTGAAGAGCGCAGAGCAAGAAAGATGACGATGAGGATGAGGATGAGGATGAGGATGATGATGATGATGATGATAAGGGCCGCGAGTGCTCAAAGGAGCTGGCCCACGCTCTCGATGTGTGCCCCGTGGTGGTGATCACCTTCCAGAATCCAAGACCTGGTTCCGCTAGCGCTCGCTTGAGTCCCAAACCCCAGGCGTTCGGCTGCAACAGATCATTTCATTCTTTATCGTTCTTTGCCCTACCCGGTCCCCCCTTTTGACTTTCGACTCAGCCCTATCCAAAGACTGTGAGACAAAGCTAAGTGGACCTTCCTGAGCCTTTGATAAAAACCATCATGGTCTGGCATGTGATAGAGTGTATACAATGCAGTGGAAAGGTTTGTCCACCTCCCTGACTACCTACAAGGGAGTCTGGCAAGGCTGCAGGAGAGCCTCCCTTTTCTGGAGCAGTTTTGTTGATTTGATACTTCAACAAATTGCAGACCGTGCCAGTCTTGAATGGATGCGCTCCGACTGCACCCTCTAGGCAGGTGATGGCCGTGTTTGCATTGTGTTTTCTGACAAAGTGTCTTTGCTCACTGGACTTCACTGTAATCACAGTGCTGGAACAACGTTGCATGACCATCAACGTGACAAGTCGACGGTGCTCCTCACCATGAAGGGCAAAGCAAATGGGTCAAAAAGAATCGCTTCAAACATTACAAGCGTCAAGAGGCAGGACATGAGACTTTTGAGATTCACATCAAGTCCGCGCAGACCTATCTAGGTTCTACAAGCACGCGCAGAAAGAAACGCTTCATTCTCGGCTTACTTCGTGTGGACATCGATTTCGACAGATGCACGCAAGGTTCAAGAGGAATGTTTTACCGCAACATCAAAAAGTTGAAATTTGGAAAACATTGCCCTTTTATGGACTGGATGCAGTGGGCATGGATATTCAAATATCACAAAACTGGCCAAAGCACTGCTCAGGCAACTTTGATATGTAGCAGCTGATCATGCTTTTCAGTCACATGTGATACACAAACAACTCCTACAGCAGTTGCAGTGGGAGCGCCCGATTCAGCTCTTGCGAGACCGGATGTCCTCTCTCCTGCTGCGGATAGCGGACACTCAACCGAAACGAAGACATTCAACAGACACGACGTCCAACAGCTTAGGCTTACCCTACAAACTGTGGACGCCTGGCTTGTTGACGATGCTCTTCGACCTGATTCCGGAGTTCCGTTTCCACTGGCAGAGGCTGGCTTGAATTGCTCACAGTCGACTGACTCCCACTATGGAACCTCAACGTGCAGACACTGTGGCGCATCCTGTGTTCGGTGGAGTAAGTTGATACATCGCATCACCAATGACAACTGCCCTGAATTTGAACCTGGAAAGGCCTCTCCTCAGACCCTGGACTCTTCCAATTAAGCGTTGACTTCTGGACATCTATGACGCTGGTGATCTTCAGCGGCTGCAGGATGATCACACCCTACGCAACTTCCTGACCCATAGATGTGTGCTCTGTGGTTTCTGGGCCGCTCGTACTCAGCAGATGCACCCTGAGGCTCACCAACAGATCTCACTCGAGCGAGGGTTCAGATACTGTGTGGATTTTGTGGTCAAGACTTCAAATCCGGCGCCGCGGCTGCAGGTCTGCAACAGCACGCCACCACCACTGTGAGAACCTTTCAGGCAGCCCGTGACCAGGTTGACGGGCTTCTACGCATCAGGACTTCTTGAGCTTGGCAGCACTGAGGCGCCGCATTGACGGTGGTCAATGTTCTGAACCTGTTCCGGAGGAAAATCTTTTGTTCTGGCACCGCCCAGTCGAATGGGGGAACGTTTGATCACTTGATGGGATTCAAGTCCTTGGATTGATTTGTGGCCTTTGTTCACGGACTGGGCAGATGCCACCAGACTCGCTGAGTGGTTTCAACGTTTCAACGCATTGAGGAACTTGGAAAGCTCGTGTACTCGTCCTTCCTTTAATACGTTTGCGCGGCCTACACACACCTGGCCCTCTTCATCCACCACGACTTGAACAAGTTCCAAGAAGCCGATGAGGACCTTGTCATTTGTCATGCTCTCACACTGGATCTCATGGCACTTTGTCCTGCGCTGGCTTTGACCTGGATACTTGGCTTGCACTGTCGTTTGGGGGCCTGGCAGATCATCATGGCTTGAGCTCGACCAGGGAACCTTCAAGGCAATTAGTGGCCAACGTCTTGGCCATCTACTCGAGACTCCAAGAGTCTTCCGCCAATCAGGGGATTGATCAATCCTGGCACTGCCTGCTATCAGAACTCGGCGGTGACTTGACTCTCATCTGTGGACCTGTTTACCCATTGTCTTTTTCACTCTAGCTGAGAATGCGGACAATGCGCCCGATTTGCCCTGTGAAAATGGCGAGTGGAACAGGTTGATGGCAGACTGGAACCACCCGTTCAAACAGCGTGACATTGTAGACTTCATTCACTACTTGTTGCCTTGGCTAGCACCACATACCGCAGCTGCAAATGGCAATCTCAAACAAGGGATCGTCAAGATCATTGACACTGGAACAGAGGCTTGCCCCGTGCATCTCTATGCTTGCATGAGCCCTGAACGGGATCACGTGGACCTTCAACTACTCATCGCAGATATTGGTCAATGGGTTCATACGGACTACATACCATGGTTGGTTTTGGAGACCTCACCTGTCTTCAGATTGATCGATTCAATGCCTGGCACTTTGGCGCTGAGGCATTTTGAGGACACTACAGGACTGCTCTCCTTGAGTGCAGTGGCGGGTGGCGGGTGGCTCTCTGACGACCATCTTCCAGCGCAACGTGTCCATGTACTTTTAGAGGAGTGCTTGCTTGGTTTGGCTGGCGCTGGACCCCATCAAAAAAAGAAACGACCTGTGTCTTCGCTCATTTCAGAGGACCCACCACCACTGCCGACCAAAGAAGTTATGTTTCAGAACTTGAGATATGATCCAACTACGGAGCGGACCGTCCTTGGAAACAAGATTGGCCAATGGCCCTGGACTTGATGGATCCTGACTTGCTGACTCAGCGCCCTGATCTTTGCATGCCGCTGGCCACGAGCTGTGTTGCCTGCGGCACCGTACCTCCGGACTTGCTGCTGCGCCTGAGGTCCCATGAAAACTTTTGGCAGCGCCCTGAGGCCCTAGCAGAGGAATCCATGAAGGGATTCATGGCGCGAGTGTCGTCTGTTGTCCGTTTTGCGTAGATTTTGTTGAGAGTTTTGAAGATCATGACTGCCCAGTGCACAGACAATGGGCAATGCTACACCTTCTTTGGCGTGACCAGCAGAGAGCCAAGGCCTCAGAATCCTTGCTGCTGGATAGTTTGGCTTGAGCCCCTTCGTGGGGAGCAGGATGGACCGCGCACAGTCCAGGTCCACTCTAACTTCGACTCCGGAGCGCAAGAAAGAAAGAAGAAGAAGAAGATGATGATGATGATGATGATGATAGAGAAAGCGCATTTTGGTGGGTTTTTCTATATGGAGAGACCTTCGCAGGTGCTTTCGTGTGCCCTGGTTGTTGAATGCAAACCAGTTGAAGAAATCTTGTCGATGTGGCTCTTCTGGCAAATTCGCTTTTCTGTTATTCGCCACTCGTGACTCGCTTTGGTGTGTTTTCACAGCAACGTTTGGAAGTGAAGACAGGCATCAAACCACTTGACATGAACAAAAACGTGGCATGTCATTGTCCAGGCTGTATTGGCCATGTTTGCAGCAGTGATCCAGCAGCGAAGCAAAGGTTCCACTTTCAAATTACATTGGGAAGTGTCAGATATGGAAATTCAAGCCAACGACGACTCATGTGCGAGCGAAAAAAAGTAAACCACGCAGCCCTTTTTGTGTCAGCAAACATAACAGTTCAACGTTGTGTTGTGTTCTAGAATATGTGTTCTTCTTCCTGCAAGCGCCATGTCCGCCGACTTCGCCATTCAATATGGCAAGTTGATTGAATGGTAGTGCTGTCCGTTTGACAGGATGTCTGCAGAAACTCAAATTGTGTTTCTTGGGTTTTGAAAGAGCAGGTGGAATAGGAATGGCCTCCAACCTACTTGCAATGGCCTCCAACCTAAGAGCGATGGCCTCCAACCTGCGAACTCAAATTTTGTTTCTTTTGGGCTTTGAAAGAGCAGGCGGATTAGACACTTGAAACAAGTTTCAACTCCAATTTGACGACACCGGTCTTCCCGCATCAGCCAGGCTCCTAGCTCGAAGGGTCATCCCTGAGGTCGGGTTCCGGATTGTCGCTAGCAAAGAGGGGCTACTAGGAACAAGGACGCTACTAGGGGCTCCTGGCTGTACTACTAGAGCAAAGGACGCGACTAGGAACAATTTTAGCAAAGGGAACGCGCGTGCCAGGACTACACCAAGCTTCTCTCTGCTGTTCAGGCTAGGAGAGCCAATAGAAACATGGACGACATGGATATGGACGGACGAAATACCTTCGCAACAACGTTGAAGGCCCGAATCAGCGAGGCCCAGAAGGAACAGTTCACTGATGAGGCTGCACCATCCTGCGCCATGCTGCGCCCAGTGTGTTTGTGGACACAGCCTGCTAGCAATGGCCTCCAACCTAACAGCAATGGCCTCCAACCTCCTTGCGATGGCCTCCAACCTGGAAGCGATGGCTTCCAGCCCAGAAGTGATGGCTTCCAACCTAATAGCGCTGGCCTCCAACTTAATATTGCCAGGTTGCCCGTGCAGTGATTTCGGAACATGGTGACAACGTGCACTACCTTGCTGCCAAAAGGATCTATGAGGCGGCTGACAGCCACATGAGTTCATTCAGCATGTTGTTAGCGCCCTTGAGTTTCAATGGTTCGCAGGCCATTCTCAATTCTCCAGAGGGGCAAAGTAAAACCCTATTGGGCACAACCCTGAGTCTTTGATGCAGAGCGAATAGCTGCTTATGTAGATGATTGCAATGCCAGCGTTGGCAGTGATTTGCTGCATCAAATGCCTCAGGTGGACATACACATGCAGGGGCCGCAAAATGGAAAGCTGTCTTGGATGCGTCCGCGATCTGGCCCTCGCACAACTTTGTCATAAGGGTTGAATGACAGTCCGTTGCGTACATCGTTTTCCAGTTCAGCGTTGTTTATTGTGATGGGAGATATGTGTCACAGCCCAAGACAGAAGTGACAGTACACGTCGACAGTTTTGTTTGGAACAGCGTGGGACAGCTATATATGTCTAGTTAACAAATTGAAAGAACAAAAACTTGCGAATTCAATAGGGAAGGAGAAGGAAAGATAAAAGTAAACAAAAGAACGTTCAAAGTAGAAAGTCAAAAGACAACACTTAAAAGAAGGAGAAAACATATTGGGCAGCTAAGTCCATTTCGTAAGGCAAGGCTGGCATTTTCGTGTTTCACAGTGAGGGGTCTGACTTCAGCAACTTCAGGTACCGACGGCGGCACCTTGGATGGGCCAGCGCGGCCAGAGCCTCTGGCCGCTGGCCTCTACAAAATCCAACCTACTAGCGATGGCCTCCAACCTACTAGCGATGGCCTCCAACGATGGCCTCCAACCAACTAGCAAAGGCCTCCAACCTACTAGCGATGGCCTCCAACGATGGCCTCCGACCAACTAGCAATGGCCTCCAACCTACTAGCGATGGCCTCCAACCTACTACCGATGGCCTCCAACGATGGCCTCCAACCAACTAGGAATGGCCTCCAACCTGCTAGCGATGGCCTCCAACCTACTAGCGATGGCCTCCAACCCAAGAGCGGTGGCCTTCAACCTACTAGCGATGGCCTGCCAACCTACTAGCGATGGCCTCCCACCTACTAGGGATGGCCTCCACCAACCTTGCTAGCGATGGCCGCCAACCTACTAGCGATGGTCTCCAACCTACTAGCGATGGCCTCCAACCTACTAGCAATGGCCTCCAACGATGGCCTCCAACCAACTAGGAATGGCCTCCAACCTACTAGCGATGGCCGCCAACCGACTAGCGATGGCCTCCCACCTACTAGGGATGGCCTCCAACCTTGCTAGCGATGCCCGCCAACCTACTAGCGATGGCCTGCAACCTACTAGCGATGGTCTCCAACCTACTAGCGATGGCCTCCAACGATGGATGGCCTCAAACCAACTAGCAATGGCCTCCAACCTACTAGCGATGGCCGCCAACCTACTAGCGATGGCCTCCCACCTACTAGGGATGGCCTCCAACCTTACTAGCAAAGGCCTCCAACCTACTAGCGATGGCCTCCAACCTACTAGCAATGGCCTACCTACTAGCAATGGCCTCCAACCTAAGAGCGATGGCCGCCAACCTACTAGCGATGGCCTGCAACCCAATAGCGGTGGCCTTCAACCTACTAGCGATGGCCTCCAACCGAAGAGCGATGGCCTCTAGCCCAGTTACTGGTTACTGATGATGGCCTCCAACCTACTAGGGATGGCCTCCAACCTTCTGGCGGTGGCCTCGAACCTTCTAGCGATGGCCTCCAACCTAATAGCGTTGGCATCCAACCTACTAGCGATGCTAGCGATGGCCTCCAACCTACTAGGGATGGCCTCCAACCTTACTAGCAATGGCCTCCAGCCTGCTGGCGATGGCCTCCAACCTACTAGCGATGGCCTCCAACCTAATAGCGATGACATGTGACATGTGTGACACATTAGTAAGAAAGTTCCTAAACACATCAGGTTGTTCCCAACATTTTCGCAATGTCCTACCATGCTACCTGTTATCGCATTGTCTTCTTGTGTGGGTCTCGTTGATGAATTTGGTTCTTTTGGAAGGCCCGCTTTTTGATTCAAAATGTGAGCTACGAAATGGCAGCTCTGAGCTACTGGCTGGAATTGGTGGCAGTCAGTTCAGCTTTCAGAATTCCACTTGTTCCCAGCCAGGACCAAGCATGCGGCTTTTTGCGAACGCCAGGCACAATACATAGGACATCCCAGTTAATTGCAAAATAGTTTTACAAGGAAGGGATTTGTGGCAAATAGCGAGTCTCCTCTTCATCTTCACAATAATCCTTGCAAAAACAAGCACTGCATTCTGCAAGAAAATGGTTTGCTTGCAGTCACTTTCTGAAAAGATAACGGCTGTGAACCTGTCAAAACTATTGTCAACGTCATATTGTCCATCGCTTGGATTTGAAGGTCCAAGATTGCACAACCAGGCAAGCAGACTTGGACCGACAAGAGGCCAATGCCACAGCCAGGCTGGGCCATTCGCTGAGACTTGCGCAGCTGAACGACCACGTTCTTGAGGTACTGTGAACTGTTGAACGACTTGGGTATCGAGGGTTCTGCGCTCAATTTCGGAATCATAGAGAGAAGCCACTTCAACGTTCCTCAAACTAGTAGCAAGGGCATGGCTATTAGTAACAGGTGCATCGCTACTAGTAGCAAGACGCTACTAGTAGCTACGGCAACCTTCCTGGCAAGGCTTCAATTTCCGCAAAGAGCTACGGCAACGTTCTGGGCAGGATGGGTGAACTGCATTGAGCAATGGCACGGTGGCTGCATCCTTTAAAGACACATTTGCAGACATTCCGATGCTTAAGCAACATAGAGTCATATAGTAACTTGTTACTATTAGTGGCAATGCCCCTGGTACTAGTAGCTTCTTGCTGCTAGTAGCGATGCACTTGCTACTTGTTTAGTAGTGATGCTCTTGTTACTAGTGGCTTTATAGAGTCTATATACATATATATATATATATGAGTAAGAGTGCAGCCAATGAGTCGGGGCCAACTGTTTTGGACCTGCTCCCAGTGCAAGTTTCTTGCTGTCGGCCAGACCCCTGCAAGGATTTGCGTGCGCTGGGGATCCTGGCTGTCACCTCTTCTCTTCAAAAGTTTCTCAATTTCTTGTCTTTCTTTCTTTAGACCTTTAAACACTTTTTCATCTTTTTACTTTTCTTGAACGCACATTGTTCTGCATTCATGAGCTTTGACAGCCTCTTCGAATGATCACGAGGCTTTCACGCGAAGCACTGGATCTCTTACGGCAGGTGGGCCAGGTGGGCTTCCCCGCTTTGATCTTTGGCGTTCTTTCTGTTACGAGTAGTCGGCTTCAGACTACTACCATCTACTACCTATTTCAGCAATGGCCTCCAACCTAAGCCCGATGGCCTCCATCCTAGTAGCGATGGCCTCCAGCCTACTAGGGATGGCCTCCAACCTAATACCGATGGCCTCCAATCTAAGACCGATGGCCTCCAAACTAAGAGCGATGGCCTCCAACCTGAGCGATGGCTACAACCTAAGAGCGATGGCCTCCAACCTAAGAGGGATGACCTCCGTCCTAATAGCAGTGCCTCCAACCTACTACCTCCAACCTCTGGCCTCCAACCTAATAGCAATGGCCTCTCCCATGCTCTGCCCTGCTGTGGAAACTCTGAAATCGAGTCCATTGCTGTGACTGGGCCATCTCGACACGCTTGGCCGTTCTATCCTCAATGCATCTGCGCGCTTTTGTCCCACATCCCTAAATCAGCGTTACATAAGTTACACACGTTACATAAGTTACAGCGGTAGCTTGCCCGCTGCTGCCATACGGAGCAAGGTTCGAGAGCCATACGGCCATGTGTAGACTTCGCCCTAGTAGGTTAGGAGGGCATCGCTAGCAGGTTGAAGGCCATCGCTCATAGGTTGGAGGCCATTGCTAGTAGGTTGGAGGCCAGCGCTCTTAGGTTGGAGGCCATTGCTAGTAGGTTGGAGGCCA